CTTGCAATGTATTTACAATTAAGCAAATTAAGCTGAACGTATTGATTTTATTTATTGTTAAAAAGTTAGTGAATGCAGAGCATAACTCTCCTTTCCTTTCGAGCTATACAAAATGTACATTTATAAAATATTCCCACAGCACATTCAAATGACATTCAAATATCGGCGTTGCCATTGAATGGCATGCAGTTCGGAGAGTGAAAGAAATCTATTTTAAATTAATAAAAGTCGACAGAGGCCAAAGAAATTCACGGAATCCGTAAATGCAGGAGCTGGGCCCATCAGTGCGCTTGGGACTCGCAAGCGAGCAATAAAAAGAGCATCAACGACGAAGACGAAAAGTAGCAGCCGTAGCGAGTAAACTTGAAAGAACAAAGCAACAAAAGCAACAACAACAGAACGTGCCAGCATAAACGGTTACTAGGTCAGTAACACCGAAACCACCCAAAGGCGCCCTCACGCATCCTTTGCAGCCACATGAGCATGAGCGCTCTCTCGCCACTCGCCACTCTCTGCGAACATGTTTTTAGTACACGGAGAGCACAGCATCCGCTGGGCCTGCCACAATCATTTGTAGCTTTGTCGCCCAGCACGCGCCACTCGCGATGCTGCCGTCGCTCGACTGTCGCCTTAGTACTCACTCGTGTGCGTGTCGAACAGGACGACTACGGCGGATTGGTTCTGCAGCGTGCTCGCCTCTTGCCGTCGCCACCGACAACGGTTACTTGGACAGACACAAGAACGCCGAAAGCTGGCGGACAGCGCGAATCGAGTGTCCCCGAATTGAATAGAAAGGAGAAAAGAGTGTTTATTTCGGTGATAACACAAAAAATAAAGAATACAACAAAATAATGAATGGGAGGAGTGCGCAACAGTGAAGGCAGTGGCGAGTCAGTCGGTTCGTGCATTTTGTGTTCATAAGTAGCGGCAATTAATTATCAAACCGCTGCGCTGGATTATACAAAATTAAATGTAAAATTTGTGTCTTTTGGCACAAGTTTAAGCTAAAAAGTGGCCGGAAACAGGCTTAAATTGAAGTGCGCGGTCTGTGGAGCGACGACAAAAAATCACAATAAAAGCAAACAATATAAACAAAAAGAAACTCGACAATATCCCGACATAACGGCAGCAACAACATAAAAGAATCCCCTTTCTTTCTGTTTCTGACATTTTCCTGTAAGCGGTCGAATATGATAATATGTTAATAATGATTATGATGATGGTGATGATGATGACCACTGTGAAGCAGGAGCGCTCTTGCTGCTGACAGCGGCTTACTGACTGCCTGCCTGCCTGCCTGCCTGCCTTTCTTCTATATTTTTGGCATATTATTGATGAGCATTAATATTATTAACATTGAGGATGCTGGAATTGGCAACACTTAAAGCTAATCGGCTAGGTCGCCTTTTGTGAAGGGTCGCAGTATTTTCCTTGCATAATCACCTCATTGAAATGCAAATAAGCTGCGGTCTAATGGTTTTCCTGCAACTTCTTTATCTGCATCCTGCAGCTTCGTACTTCGTACTTTGATTAGCGGCGCACGTGCTCTGCCTTGCGCCTTCATTTATGAATGGCTAAGTTCCGATGACTATCAGTTACTGGCCAGTAAATTACCGCGTTCCGTCCCTAAAGGTCAACGCAATGTGTTAAACTGAAAATGAATGCCCGGGCAAGACTGAATGGACTAATGGAATCAGAAAACGGCAACAAAATAATTATTTAATTAACGAAAGTGCTGTGTTCTAACCCTGGCTCAAGGCAAAAAGGCGAAGCGGCATTTCTGCAATGGATCCTGCCAGAGTCTCTTTATATATTTTTTGGTTCAAATACCTATTCATTCGTTCCGTTTATCTAGGCAAGTGCTCTGCTGCTAACAGAGTCCTGCGCCCAGCCCGAGCCCATTCGACCTAAGGCAGGAAGCTACTTAAACGACAGTGGCGTTCAGCTTTAGCCTCTCTAATTTAAATTTAATTAAGTGGGACCATTCGCTTAAGGGCGCGCCTACCCTGCGGGTCGGAGTAGTACTGGCGTTAGTTTTGCCAACGTCATTATAATGAATACAGCTCCAAGTGGGCAGCCTCTGAACAGGCACGGCCATTTGAATATTAAGTGTCAGTTAACCTATTTCATAAATGCCCTTAATAATTCTGTTGATGAATAAACACATTTTGGGTCTGTTGGAGTGCTTCAATGCTTCGAAAGGGGACTGGGCAGTAGTTTTATACCTAGTTGAGTGATAAAGTGAATTATATATTAAGGGACGTGTTCCTAATGCCACAAGAATGTTGGTCTGTTGGTCTTGTATGCTGTTAATGTTTTACGCAAACTTAGGAAACAGCAACAAACCTAAAACAAAGTTTGTGTACAAAGATAATTCAACTCAATATTGAAAGTTTATAAAAGAGTTTAAAAGAGTTTTGAGAAAAAATGGAAATAGAATTGTGTTTTGTGTTGCAACGACGATTTCTAATAATCATTAAAAAATAAACTCTCGGCTACATACAAGTAGTATTCTTATTAATTTTCTGTTACCAAAAAACGCCAAAGCAGTGAGTAAGGTGTAAACAAACGTTATTAACAAACTCTGCAGACGTTTTATTTCGAAAGTGCCAGATAAATGTTTGCTGGCGTATTTCAATTTTCAAATACTGAGGTGCTTAAATGATTCAACTGCAATTAACTTTCTCGTTCATACAAGCTTGTTAAGGGAAAACCTTAATATATATGGGCAATATTTAAGCAATTGCTCTTCAAATATAATAATATATTTTTTACAAACTGGATTGTCAAAGAATTCTTAAAGCATTCGCAGTTTTAAAAGCTGAAGTAATTGCTTTTTTTCTTCATTTTATTAGCTTTGGTGATGTGGATTTAAATTTTAAGGGAAAACCCTAATATATATGGGCAATATTTAAGCAATTGCTCTTCAAATATAATAATATATTTTTTACAAACTGGATTGTCAAAGAATTCTTAAAGCATTCGCAGTTTTAAAAGCTGAAGTAATTGCTTTTTTTCTTCATTTTATTAGCTTTGGTGATGTGGATTTAAATTTTAAGGGAAAACCTAATATATATTGACAATATTTAAGCAATTGCTCTTCAAATATACTTGTAATAATATATTTTTTACAAACTGGATTGCCAAATAATTCTTAAAGCATTCGCAGTTTTAAAAGCTGAAGTAATTGCTTTTTTTCTTCATTTTATTAGCTTTGGTGATGTGGATGTAAATTTTAAGGGAAAACCTAATATATATGGGCAATATTTAAGCAATTGCTCTTCAAATATAATAATATATTTTTTACAAACTGGATGTCAAAGAATTCTTAAAGCATTCGCAGTTTTAAAAGCTGAAGTAATTGCTTTTTTTCTTCATTTTATTAGCTTTGGTGATGTGGATTTAAATTTGAAGGGAAAACCCTAATATACATGGGCAATATTTAAACAATTGCTTTTCAAATATAATAATATATTTTTTACAAACTGGATTGTCAAATAATTCTGAAAGCATTCGCAGTTTTAAAAGCTGATGTAATTGCTTTTTTTCTTCATTTTATTAGCTTTGGTGACGTGGATTTAAATTTGCAAAGTTTATCATAATTTCAATTTAAGCCAGGAAGGAAAGATAATCCCATTTTTTTCTTTGAATATTTTGAAATTTATTAACTTGTACAAATTTGAATTCAGCAATGAATTTGTGCGGTTGCATCTTAATCAAGCCTCATCAAATATAACCATATATATTATAATGAATTGCTTTGATTGAAACGACTAACAATTACATCAATGACCAATTTAAAAAGCCCGTTGTGGATAAATGAAGTCATGTATTGGGTAAATTATATACAAGCTAAAGCACTGACTAAATTATGTAATGACAATATTTAAAAGCTAATGGTAAAGATAAAACTTAACATAAACTTTCAAATACAAGTGTACTTGTATATATATATATACATATGTGTACATAGAGCAGCAACTACACAATGTAATTAAAATAGGCAAATGTTTATTAAACAAATTAGAGGACAAATAAACAGAGGATGGCAATGCTCTTGAGACGTTTCTAAACAAATACTGTGAGACGTTCGAGCAGAAACGAGTCAACCTGTATTTTAAATCGAGTAAGTGGAAGCAATTTGAAGTCTCATGAAAGTAAATAAAAGTTTAGCGCCAACAACAATATATACTTACACTTGAAACAATACCAAAATCAGCGCAAGCGGCTCTCCCCAAACATAAAGCACACCACCTACAGATTGCGACAGAGAGGGCGGAAGGGGGCTGGGGGGCTGTAGCACGACGACACGAGACAACACAGCCGACTGGCATAGTGGCACACTGACAAACACACGCGACACCAACACCTGCACACACACATGCACACACACATCCAAACACAAACATGGACCTTCCGTGCGACACATAAGCCAGTGTACATATTGGCGAACAGCTGCCGGAGTGCTTCGCCATTCGCGGCAGCCATCGAGGCAAAACAATTTGGGGGCATGCGGAGTAGAGCAGAGTAGAGGTAGAGCAGAGCAGGGTTATGGGCTACAACGGACAGATGAGCAGGCGGCAGGCATAAATTGCCAACATCGGCTGAAAGTGAATGAGCCATGGCGCCCTCCCCGAAAATGGCCCCAAAGGCTACACGTGCGCGATCCCTTCTATGTGTTGTGTGTTTGTGTACATTCGTTAAATGCTCCAAAATTAATTTGCAAATACAATACCTATATACATAAATAGTGTATACGAACTTTTTGTTCTTTATTAAAGCCAATGTGTTTAGCGCAATAAATTGCAACAAAATGTGCGCGACTAAAAGGAATGCTTGTATGAGCAACAATAATACGATTAAAACCAACAAATTAACAAACAAATAAGTGCCCGGCAATTAACAACAATCACTAACAGCAACAACAACAACATCTGCAACTGCAACAACAACACTCATATTTCGCTCAACAACGGCAACAACAATAGCAACGGCAAAAAATGCACTTTGGCCTAAAGTTCAGCGGCTGCTTCTGGCCGAGCCTTTTATGGCTAACGTGGCTCAGCTACGAGGTCGGTGTCGGCAGCGCGCAGCCATCATTAACCGAGAAAATTCCATTAGGTGAGTAAGCCACGCGGAACGGTTGCAAATTGCAACTGTTGCTATGTGCGACACGGAGATGGGAGCGGCAGCTCTGGAACTTTTTTCTTTATATGCGCTCGGCTGCACACACGCTCCCCAAACAACGCGACGACCTCCTTTGTCCAAATCGCAGTCCTCCAAAACTTTTTGCCACGAAGCGTTCCTTGCAGATTCGTGTTTAATTTTATTAGCAACTGGTTAAAGTTATTCAATTAAAGGATGAGACAGTGTCCTGTCATAGCTATGAATTAATATAGCTCGAATTTCGCCTGGGGATGGTATTTGTTGCAAAAACAAATGTTTGCATTTACAAGTATAAAGTCGAAAGTCCGCTAGCACGCACATATTCATAGCTTCTTTATGAGAGAAGACTGAATGTAAAAATTGCAGATATATAAGAAAGTAAGATTAATTTACTTAAAAATAAACAACACTGAATGTTAGAGTCAAGCAAGCCCGACAGTGCACCACCCTGTACCTAAACAAACTTCCCTCACTGTCTTACGGCTTTACACATTGTTACATATAATATACAAAACATTTCTTTCGATTAAAGAGGACTAGAGGTATATAATTACAAATACATTTTGTGTAACAAGTTTAGTTGTGTACAGTTGTGTTGCTTCGGGATAGGTACGTCTAGTAGTCGAGACTCCATAACACGCTTAGTAAATGTGCATTCGGCACCGAACTTTTGCCTTTTACGTAAGCATCCAGATAGACAGATATGGCTAGATTAGCTTGACCCATCACCTAAGATGAAGATTAAAAAACATTGTGCCTGTCATATCTCCTGTTGTATCTTCAGGCTTTGAGCACATACTTATATAAACATAGATAAGATATATTAATTTTTCCTCTCATATTGATCAGGAATATATCAGCATGAGCCACTTAACGTTTTGGCCACCTTGAACTTCAAAATTATTTTATTATCAATCAGTCAATCTTACTATAAATAAAATAAATTGCAATCATTGCATATTTGAGAGCGAAATTTGATTATTAATTTAAATGTTTAATAACCGAAACGGAATGGAGTGGATTTTCTCCACTAAATACACAGTACACTCATTTTAATTGGGCTCGAAAAGTGAATCCAATCCATTATTTACAATTATTTATTTACATTATTTAAAATGACTGTATTCAACCATAAATTGCTTATTCTATAGCTCTAGTTGAATAATAATAACAAAGTTAAGAATAATAAATTTTCGTTTCTGGTGAGAAGGAGAAAATACCTAACGGATCTCCCACTGCCGTCGTAGAAAGGGCTTAAAAAAAGCAACCGTCTCTTCGGCGCTATGTTGGTTTTCCTCTTTAGGCCTCCGTTCAGGCTTCCCCTTTCTTTTGTAGTTCATGTTCATGGTCAACAACTTTTCGACACGAGGATAATAATAATAGTAATATTTTTCGATTTGAGGAGGCAAAGTAACTTTAAGTATCTTTGGATCTGCCCTCGCAGGATCCCTTATAGGAAAGTATCATCACTGTATTTTATAATTAAAGCTAATTTATTTCAAGTGCTTTCGCATTGCTTGGAGGTGGGGCTTCTATGAGCTATCAATTACTTGGTCTGCTCCACGTCCTTCTCCTTCAAATGTAGAAGATCTCCAACAAATGTCTCTACTAATCTCCAGTTCTCTTCCCTGTTAGTTATTCTTGCCAATATGTTATCACACTGCCTGTGACAGGCGTCTTCGCTTGCGTGTGAATTATTTGCATTAAGCTTTTAACTATTCTCGGCGTTATCGTTCTGTGAAAAAATACAAAACCATACTAAATGAGCCGTTTACAATTAGAAACACTTTTAGCTTATTTATGCATTCTAAGCTTGAAAAAAAGTTTTGTATAACCAGCAGAAATACATCCACTAAATGTGAAATAGTTAAATTTTGAAAAGGGATCTTCAGAAGCTTTAATAAAAACCCAAAAAGAAAACGTCCAGCCCGACAGTGAAATATCCTATACCTAAAGAAACTTTTGTCTTTAAGTTATATGCGCCTGTAGCAGAAGCAAAAATAAGAACAAGGGCGAATCTGCTCCTGCAGTTAGTGGGCTTAGTACTGTAGTACAATTGTTTCACTAACAACTTTTCTTAGAATAGACCAATTGCACAAGCCTAGTATATCCTCTATATCCTTATAATTATATTTCTAATTTGTTTTTACCATTTCAACATATGCACAGGTGCTATCTTTGAACAAGGCACTGATGAGGTGCAGTCTGCCTTCAAATATGCGATGCTCAATCACAATCTTAACGTCTCGTCCCGTCGATTCGAGCTTCAGGCCTATGTGGACGTCATCAATACAGCGGACGCGTTCAAGCTATCTCGACTCAGTAAGTGAAAATCTTTTATAATTAAAGCCAATGTGTTGCTTTAATTATGGTTTAATAAATTCTTTATAATATGTATGTATGATTTTACCTATGAATACATTATAGTTCTTAATTCATAATTAATTCAGTTCATAATTAAAGCTAATTTATTTCGAAATTTTATTTAGATGTTATGGAAGATATTTTTTAATTCAATATTTTCGTTTATTTTGCTTCTTACTGAAAAAGTTGTGAGATAATTTTAAAATAATAATACCGTTTTGTTGTTGAAAATTTGATTCTTTGTTTAATCGTTTTCCTTGCTGAGTTACTTTGGAGAACTGCTTCTGCTGTTAATAACTTCTATTAAATTTTTGAGCCGGCTTCAATTTTAAATATTTAGAGCATATAAGTTACTTGGCAAATCTGCTTCCTCTAATCCGAAATATTTTTACAAAATTTGCTTGCTTTCAGTCTGCAATCAGTTCTCTCGAGGAGTGTACTCCATGTTGGGGGCCGTGTCGCCGGACTCTTTCGATACGCTACACTCTTACTCCAACACATTTCAGATGCCTTTTGTGACGCCCTGGTTTCCGGAGAAAGTAAGTGGGGCAATTAATGCCCAATTAAAATTAAAGCGAAAGCATTGCAAATTGTCGAAATACATACAAGTACATATGTACATACATATGTATGTATGTATAGCCAAGGGTTAATATTGAGTATTAATCATACGCACTGATGGCACTTAAATAAATGCAGAACCTTGAAAATATTTGTGTGCTGTATTATTTATGAGACGCACACAGGTTGTGAAATTATTATGAGTGCCCAAGAGAGCAGCACTCGGTAATGATGTCCTGCCCCAGCCGCGTTCAGCAGTTAAAGCAACAGCTAAATGTGTTCGCTTTAAAAATTTACGGGCACCTCCCACTTTTGGCCCCGTTCATGCAAATGCCCAGGGAAGCCAAAAGCGAAACGAGCTGAATAACAAAAGGCCAGCACAAAACCAAAAACTCAATAGGCACTCAATAATGATTCATGTTTACTAACTTGCCACACTCTTCTCTTATCTTCTCTTCTCTTTCTCTCCTCCATGCTCCATGTTCTTTGTGTCGCTGTCCGTCGGCTGCTGTTTTCCATAATTTTCGCGTTTGGCACTCGACTGGTTTAGGTGCTTACGCCATCGTCTGGCTTCCTCGACTTTGCCCTGAGCATGCGTCCGGATTATCATCAGGCTATCATTGATACAATACAATTTTATGGATGGCGCAAAATAATTTATCTCTACGATTCCCACGATGGTGAGCATGCCACATACATATATACAAATTTAATAGAGAATACCTATAAAAGGGCACAACTACCCGTATATATACAAGTACAGCTCTAAGCTCTGCCCCCAGCAAGTCAATAATCATTCTTTTTTTAATATCTCTTTAGTATAACCCGCAAAATTGTCTCACTGAGTATGTGTGTGTGTGTGTGTGTGTGTGTATGTGTGGGGAATGGAGGAGGGTGCGCATGGGCGTCTACTGCCCGACTCTGTAAATTTGCTTTATTATAAGTTTTGCAAGCATTTTCCATTTAACCGCCACATAAATAAAGTTGAACGACACTACGACCGCTGCCTGACAGCGCCGTCTGTGCTGACAACCGACAACCGACAACCTGCCCCATTGGCAGTAGACAGACAATTGGTCTGAGCCATGGCCAACAGGCAGTGGCACACCGACAGACACACATAAATACGTTCGCTCATCCATATCCATCCAGTTGGTCCGACTGCCTGTCTTTGTGTCAGCTACGGTTGGTGACTGCTGTCTGTCGGCCGCAAAATTATTATTAATGAATGGCACGTGGAAATCTTTCTACGGTGCTCCCATGCCTATTTGTAGGCAAGCTCACAAATAGCTATTTTTTCTGTAAATCGTTGTGAGCTTAATGGAATAAATAATTTGTTTCTGGGAACTCAACTGAATTGTCAACCAAATAGTTAATCGTGCTTTAAAAGGACATTTAAAATTATATCTACTGATTTTCATTTTAATAATATTTGCTTGGGTTTCAGACAAATTGTGGAAACAGCACCATAAATGACAAATTCATCAATATATATAATTACACAGACTACTCCATTAGAATTTTTTTTTTTTTTGTGTAGCTTGTTGCAAAATGAAGGATTAAAATATTAATATTCACCAACTGAAACTTAATTTTAAAAAATGAAAAAAGCGGACATATATAATGGTTATAGTTGGTTATAGTTGTAGAATAATACATAATATGAATAGATTTTTTTTATTGTGCTCAAAACCCTAAAACTAAAAATATTTTAAAGAATTCTTTGGAAATTGCAATATGGAAGCGTTTTGAAATAGGCACTTGGTTCAGATAATTCAATTCATAAATTGTGTTATAATTCAACAAATAAATTGTGCGTCGCTGAGGTAGCCTCACCTTAAATGTAGCTTTTTGTTTTAGTTTCATGAGTAAACTTTAAAAATGCTTTGAAGTCCATTATATTGTAGTATACCTTTAGCCTACGACTGAAATCGTGCTTATATACTTGTTTGTATGTGGAAACAAAAGACACGCTCATCTGAATCGCCATCGATCAAATACATCTTTTAACGCATAGCAAATTCCGCACAACTCACTGACATCTTTACACTTCCCATGGGACTCAGAGACTTGTCTATATTTAGAAGTACACACCATGGCAATCACGTACAATGCTTCCCGTTATTGAAATCATTAGAGCCATTAAATGTTGCTCTTCCTGCTAAAGCAAAAAAGTTCTCTTGCGATTGTGCGTTGTTTGCGCCTTTGCTTTTCATAACGCGGTCGCCGCTGCTCGCTGCTCGCTTCTCTCATTTTTTCATCATTTTCATTTTGTCGCTTAGTTTATGGCCATGTTTACACAGCCTGGCAACTGACACGCCCCCACAACTTAACGGCTTTTGTTTTTCTTTCGCTTGACGCCTAAAATCATGCTACACAAACAGGCAACGCATAACAACAACAACAGCAGCAACAACAACAGCAGCAGCAACAACAACTACAGCAGCGACGCATGAGGCAACTGTTTATATAAATGGCTTCTTTGCTTATTTGTGCCCAAAACGAGTTTATTACAAAGAAATAGGAAAAACATTTTGCCTAACGCCACGATATTTATGACCAAGCGATGTCCATTGGCATTGCTCGATGCTGACGCTGACGGCGACGTCGACGTCGACACCATCGCGTTGGAGTGCCTTGTAAAACAGCAGGCACTAAAACAATCCGAACAAAACAACAATGGCAATAGTGCCCGAAATTCGATATACATACACTCTTCACAATCACACACACAAACACACAAACATCTAACATTAGTTATGTACGGGTTTTTGGGCCAGTTTTCTTTCTAATTCATACGCCTATGCTCGCAAAACTTATAAGTTTGTTTTCGCTTGCATTTACGACTTTTGGCTCGAACGAGTCCAAAACAGTCGTACACATATAGTAGTTCTACTCGTATTTCCGTTTTAGCTGTGAAATTATTGCTTATGTATTGCCAAACCGTTACTTACATTGGATCATGTGCACCCGGGGCGATGCTGCAAAGTCTACATACTTGTACATATGTAGAGCCGTACATTTGTACATATATACTTGTATTGCACATAGCACTACATATGTATAATATCCTTATACTATATATGTATATATGTAGCTTGTGTGGCTCAGATGCGCACATGTTCACTAAAAAGCATTTGCCGTGCCGCACAGTAATCGTGCCTCTGGCAAATGCCAACGCCTTCAATTTGCGACGCCCTCTGAGCCTGTAATACTCGTAGTACGCTTATGTGTGCATGTCCACAAAAATATTAGGCATTGCTTTTTTTTAAATATCTTTTAAGATTACATCTTTCTACACTTACTATACAAGTGAGAGTCATTTCAATGTATTCATTTTAATATCCACCATTGAATTGAAATTCATTTAATTTTTGGAATTTTGGACTATCACTCTCTTTGACTCTGAATTGGTCAGTCCGCCACAATTCAATAAAAATGTTTTCCAAATAACATTGTGTATCTACAGAACATCCCTATGCGCACAATCCTGCCAAATTGAGCTCCTATGTCCTTTTTAATCAGAAATCCAAAAGCTTGTGGTGTATACTATGTACAATGTGTCACACACACATCGATATACAAATACATATACTATAAATAGAATGTACTATGTACTGTAGCTGCTAGTGTGTTGGGTGAATGGCTCGTGTGTATGAATAGATTGTCCACTACAGCCTTTGTCCACTTAATTGGCACATTTTCCAGCTAACAAGATTAAATTTTGGTCGTATTTTGGTAAGACGATAAGTGGTGCCAGTGGTTTCGACCTGAGCTGGCACTTTAAAGTCAATAGCATAATTTTTCAAAATCACGTAATTGGAACATTGTACGTTTAGAGTTAACTCAAGGCATGCAATATTTATTGGGTTTGGCTGTTCTGATTGTGTAACACTTAATGCAAAACTTCATCCTGGTTCCTGCTTTTTATTTGCTTTACGCATGTTAGTTCACAGTGGCGCTGAGTCAAATGACGATTCTTGCCCTCCAGGGAGCATCCCATCACCAGCATTTGGTGGCAGTGATCCTCCTCAAAGAAATAAGTGCGCATGTGTTTGTGGCACTCTCCAATCCCCCTTGCCTTTTCTTTGATGCTGCAACGAGCTGCAAATATCAGAGGTACAAAACGTGCTCTTTTAAATTTAAAATCAATATTTAGCTACGATTGTTTAGGGGCTCGCTACGCCAACGCTTAACCTTGGCCGCATAATCAGCATCAACGTAGAGCAATAGCAGCAAGTATAGAATCCCTGGCATTTCGGCAGCACACTGTCAAGAGTTTTTCTTGCTTCGGCAAACTATATAGTACATATACTAAAATAACAGCGATGCTGTAAAGAACAGAATGTACAAGTACATGTTAACAACCTGCCTTAACTAAACTTCTCTCGTCTCGCCTCAGAAGCCATGACAAATTTCATGTACGTTGCTAGTACAACAGAACATTTTCTACATCACCTGCGGAAAACTAGAATTTGAATCTGGTTCACGAGTACTTTAAAATAAAGACATAAAGATAATAAGAAGAGAAAGCTACTCTTGAAAATCATAAAATATAAAACGTGAAAACCACTAAACATTTTAATATTATTTCATATTTTGTCGGAACTTGGAGTACACATTGTATACATTCAACCAACAACATGTGTCTCGTTTGCTTTTTGGTTTTACATATACGTATGTATAATGAACTTCTAAGAATCAAAAGAAATATATTATTTGCTTAAATTAAAATAATTTATCAGACGAACAGACAGAAGCACATGGCCGCATCCACTGGTACTGTCATACTGTCATCAAGAATACAAGTATATTTATTTTTCGGGGGTTAGTTAAAGCAATAATTACCTCAACCTCTAGTAAAGGTTAGCTCTGCTTGTTATATTTGCTTCTGCTCTGCGAATGTACATATACCACACTGCAAAACGTTTTTTGATTAGTCCAGTATGTAGTTGTACTCCTTTTTGTAATTTTGATTAGAGCTTAAACAAAAGTAAAATATGTTTCCTTTTCTCAAAAATGCAACAGAATAAGAAGAGATTATTATTGATTTATAAGATACATCTATTTAAAAATTAATGTATTATTTTTATGAAAATACTGCAAGTACTGTGTATTTCTAATAGTTAAAAAAAAAATTACGAAGCACAACTCATAAAAAATTGTTCTGTGTCAAAAAGTGTGTTAAATGCCGGCACACACGCGTAAAGCTCAACACTAGAAGAAAAATGTATATTAAAACTGAACGTGGTGGACGTTAATGGCGACTGCGTTTCTTATGTTATTAAGAATACAATCAATAGTCAGCAGTGAAAGTAAATGTCTTACTTACCCTTCAGGACATTGCCACACGTATGCAGGAAGGGAAAACATGTGTGTTCGGTACGTGGCCGTGCGTGAGTACAAAACCAGACTGGCTGAGTATCAAAATTTATTACGCAGACACCGAAATCGTGTGCCGTCCACTCCTCTTTCTCTTTCTCACTTTTGTCACTTTTGTCACCCGGTTAAACGCAAGGACGTGCGAAAATGATCTGGCATGAATACGTCAGCTATTTTGCAATATACTCGTACTACATACGTGTAAGCCCTACGGCCTTTATTGCCGGCCCATTCAGGTGTCAGCTGCTGACACCGGCGTATTCTGTGTTTCATTAAATTCCAGCGTAAGGTAGATGTAACGTAACCAACCATCTTAAAGAAAAACTCAATGCCAAAGCAAACAAACGAAAAATCCATGTTCGTATTCTGGGGCAGTTCAAACAAACAAAATTGGCGCTCTATTGTTAGTTGGCCAACATAATCAAAGTGCAAAATTATGCAAATACATAAGAATTCGACCGCTCTTGTTTTCGTAGCACGGCCCCCTTCCCAAAGTGCTTCGAATAAACGAGTATTTGAGGCCTGCACAGATATGTAACGATATTTTCGGATTCGGCCTACTCACAAATTGATGTGTGCAGTGGCAATCAAATAGAACACAATTTCTGTATCTGAACGAAATCTCAGTGTCATGAATAATAAGCAAACGTTGATTGGTGATGTGATGGCACAAATTTGCATATGATATCGGCCAGCAATAGGTACAAGCTATACGAGTACAGTTTAAATCAAAAATTATCCAGCACTAAATTTACATAAACTGCTCCAAAAAGCGGCACCAATTGTGTTAAGACAAACGCAAATAGCCAGAACATCAGCAATAACAACAGCCATGACGCAATTTGTTATGGTGTTGGGAAGTCTGGAGGCGATATTGGCGCTGCCTGCCATTAATTTAACCATTATGGGGTTTTACTGCGCTTTCACTTTCATGTTATTTGATATTTGTTAAGCAGAGCAGCCGGCTGTGGAGGCCATTGGAAACACATGCGTAAAGCCTTTGAGCTTGTCAGCATTATTTTTCAACACCAAACTTCGACACAGCCCCACTCACTACTCCTACTACTACCCATCGCAAGTATTACAGCCCCTCCTCATACGCAAGCAGACTGTAATTAAACCTCACAAAGTTTTCCTTAAGCACAAACACAACAACATCCAATTTAAAACCTTAAGTAGTAGCTAAATATAAGAGCAACCGCTCTTTAAAGTATCGCGTAAACAGGCCAGAGAAAAACTTGACTCGCTCCACAGAACTTGTTAATAATAATTACATTTGTTTCCCTTGTTTGCGCATGAAATATGTGCGAAAATGTCCAACTTGCTTGTTAGACAAGTGTGTGTGTGTGTGTGTGTGTGTGTGTGTTTTTGTGATATCTGACGTGCAAAGTCTCTTTGTGTTGGAGTGCCTGTCGCCATTAGGAGCAGGAAAACTTCATTTCCGCAAAACTAACTTTTGCTTAGCATAACAAATTGTTTTGTTTACTCTCGTCTGTGAGTAAAAGTAGTCAACCCAGACGTGACTTACACGACTTATACGAGTAGGGTGTGAATTACTCTGGCTCTTACAAGTATTGTTGCATATTTGCATAAGTCTATCACAACCCAAAACTGGCATATGGAATACTCGGACTGACTATCAGCACATCCAGGGAACTATGAAAATAATTATGAAGTTGGAAAGCAAAATGATTTATATCATACATATCGCATCCAGCAATCTGGCATAGTTACTTACACTTACTAGTTTCGTGCGAGTAAAGATAGCAAGCCAATAGAATGCACTTTGCATTCATCCGGAGAAAAAAGGGGGTTATAGCTCAAATTTATACTTTGATTGATTTTTGGGAATCCTTTTAATAATGCATAAACACGCCCAAGCCGATTGTAACGACTTCGAGCCTTGAAATATGCCACATATGCATTTTCTTATGTTTAATCGGGATGCATTCTATTATGGCCCTCTTAGATAATCAAACTGATAGTTTAATATATTAAAATATATATTCAAAACAAATTAAAAAACAAACTATCCACCACAATTTTTTTGTTATTTTTTTATGCACTTTCCACTTAAATTGAACAAACGAATGTTATCAAAAAATACATAAATAACATGAATGGAATGCCACCTCAAAAACAATTTTTTTTTATATATTTATGTTAGTGTTTTTATTTTTCATAAAATAAAATTCCCCCATGGAGTCCGAATCCTTTTACTATATCGGCACAGGACATAAAATACGTTATAAAGCCATATAATTAGTAATATTTTACGTATTTAAAGCACTATTGATTAAACTAAATATTCTATTTTTTGGAAACATTGAATGCATAAAATTATTCAAGTTATACACTCAAGCGACTCGTAGTTTATCGCTATTACTTACCCATCCCTGGAATGGCTGTCATAAATAAAAAATATACTATCTGTGCTTAGGAAGTGGGACAACTACTTGTATTATAAAAAATTTAAGCAACTAAACCCTCCTATTGGTCATATCCACAACTGCTGCTTCTCTAAAACCACCAACTGACTTCCACCATTTGCCGAATTAAAGCTGGATTTCGAGCAGGACCCTTTGCAGTATTATTATTTTTTTTTTGTTTTTGCTCAAATGTTGTGCAACGGAAACTCACATGACAAAAGATTGTCTTGTTTTGTTTTTCTTTATTTAAAAAGGATATAACAATAAAAATAACTGGCAATCGGCGTATATAGTATGGTTGCCGTGGTGGAAAGGAACGCCGGCAGATGCCAATTTAGGCAATAAAATTGAAAAAAGAGATTCGCGGGACTGTATAGCAAATGTTTTGATGTCAGAAATTAAATGAAACAATGGCGAAGCCGCAGCACGCTCTTCAATTACACTTTCGATTTTGCACACGCACACACACACACACACACACACACACACACACACACAGATACACAGATGCACATACACACAAAATCCAAGCGGAAAAATCTCAAATCACAAAACTCAAATCTAAACACAAGCCAAGCGTTAGCGCAAGGGCAACAGAGGGGGCGGTTGTGCGGTATTGTCGGCCAAATGAAATTGTATAAAAGGAAAAGCAGAAAATTTATTGCAGGAGAACAACGAAAAAATGGCTCTGCTTCAACACTCACTCACACACCCAAGCACATATATATACACACATACATACATATATACATATATACACAAAATGGCAGTAGTGCAAATCAAAGCAACAACAAATTGGAAATGTATTGAGTGCGTAGATTTTTTTTTGGTTTTTTTTTTTTTTTTTTGTGGATGGCTGAGTGTGGTTAGAGGAAGAGGGCGCCGGGGAGTGGAGAAGGGGGAAGGCAGCTTGGCTAAAACAATGTCCAAATCACAACGCCAATGCTTGCTCAGTCGTTGGCAGCGCTCACGAGCAAATTCCATTTCATCCGCAAACATAAATTGAAGGCGTATTGAAGTTGCAGCGCCATGTCTCATGCGGCAGTTCCTTTTTGTGGTCCTTTTTTTTGCGTTTCCTCTTTGGGTCTCGATTTGTATATGCACCACCATAGAAATTGTCCGTCCCTCTCTCCTTATGATAGACTGTCTGTTCCCCGACGCAATGAATCGTCGAGCTTTGACTCGTACAAGTAGAACTTAAGCAACATCCCCAGTACAAAACTCTGCGCCATTCTATAAGTGCAAATGAAGCTTGCAGCAGACCCCGATGCCGTTAGTCCAAAGGAGCCAAAGGAGCCAAACAAGCAGTAGGAGCACCCGTACCAGCTACAAGTATAACTCAATAAGCAAAATGCAAATTGCGCTTCGAATGAAATCTCTTGCACTTCGGCGCACCAGTAGGCGATTGCAATAACAGAGAGCGGTTAGCATGGGATGATGGCTGTGGTCTGTCAATCGGGAAGCTGCTTAGCCCTGCCAATAGGCTGGGATACAAGTATATATATCCTCCTATTGTAGATACCATTGAGTGTGTGCAGCACCGTGCCTTTGCAGCTGTCATCTACGTCAATTGTCTTGGTATGTGCTTCTGTTTCTCCTTTCGCATTTCCAATTGAAAATAATTTCTCTCGTTTGGTTTTTGTTTGATTGCGACCCGAAAACATATTCCTCCATATAAGCTAGAATAAGGCACGTGCAAAAAAATTCTTCAAGAAGTGATTGAACTAGGTTTTTTGGTTAATAAATTTCAGATGTATTCTGAATATTAAAAAAATTCTCTTAAGATATGAATAAATAACAACCATAATTATTCTTTTGTGTCTAAATTTAAGAAACAAACCTTATTGAATTGAAAACTCGAATTTACAATTTATAATATTATGTGCATGAGGAATTACATTCAATTCTATTAATTGATAATTTAAACTCTTTTTAAAGCAAAGCTAAGTGCTATTTGCTTATAACATTTTTATTTTCCATTACTTATAATTATAGACTTGTCCTAAGTTATAGAATATTGTTTTGAAAACCAATATTTATAAAAAGGAAGACACCCAAAATGCTAAAGCAAATGCAACTGAAAAAATCAACATCCGCATCTGCATCTCGAAAATCAGTTATTTAACTAATATCGTACACCATGTTAAATGTTCAAACAAATATTTAAATTGTGAAAATAATTGGCTTTTGTAACAGTACGGGCTAATACTGCTTTCAATCCAGGCATTGTTTTTTTGGTTAAATGAAACCGTTTAAATTTTCCCCTATACGTATTAAAGCTTGTATTATTTTTAGGTTGAATACGAACATGTGTTTGCTTGTCGGATGGATGGCTTTGTAAACGAATATTTTGTTGTTTAGGAATTGGAGTGCCTGGGGGAAAAAGGGTTTGCTTAAAATAGTGCGTAACGACTCGAAAAACTGTTGATGATTGCAATTCCAGTGTGTGGATATGTATTGGTGTGTGTTTGTGATGGCAGGGAAGGCCCAAGAACTAGAGCAGCATACCCTCATATATATTCGTGTACATGCTAACCTACATTTGTATTGCAGTATATTAACACACTAACACTTTGTCGTTCAGGTCTGCTGCGTCTACAGCAAATCTACCAGGGCCTCAAGCCGGGCAACGAGTCCTTTCAGGTGGAGTTGGTGAAGCGAATCTCCAATGTCAGCATGGCCATTGAGTTCCTTCACACGCTGGAGCAAATCGGACGCTTCACAAATAAACACATCGTCCTGGACTGCCCCACCGAAATGGCCAAACAAATTCTAATACAACATGTGCGCGATTTGCGACTAGGTCGTCGCACCTATCACTATCTGCTGAGTGGTCTGGTAAGTGTGTGGAGGAACAACATCCAACGACAAATTGGGTTTCAGCACTCTCTGCTGTTCATGCCTCTTGCAGGTCATGGACGATCGCTGGGAGAGTGAGATAATCGAATTTGGTGCCATTAACATTACGGGCTTTCGCATTGTGGACACAAATCGGCGGTTAGTGCGTGAATTCTACGACAGTTGGAAGCGCTTGGACCCACAAACTAGCGTCGGTGCTGGTCGTGAATCGATTTCGGTAAGGCTCGCGAAATATCAGTGTCGCTGCCATTGCCGCTGTTTTCATTCGTGTTGTCGTTGTCGTTGCCGTTTCCGTTGCTGTTTCTGTTGCCATTGCCGTTAGCTGTTAAACATTTGCCGAGATTTAATGTTTACTGTAGCATAGTTTCCAGCAGTTTTGCTGCTGTTTGTGTTTAGTTGTGTGTGTGTGTGTGTGTAGTGAATAAAAGTAAGACAAGCCCGCTCGCAAAACGACAGATTTCACTTTTAGTGAAGCGACAGCGCTAACGAAAAGTTGCAGTCAAAGGCACATATGTCCTTGCGTGTCTCTCTCTCTCTCTCTCTCTCTCTCTGTGTGTGTGTGTGTGTGCTGCCAGTTGCCGTTGTCCTTGTCATTGTTGGCAGCTATACACTCCACATACATACACACTCACACTCACACGAACAACTGTTACAACAACAAGAAGAGCAATAACGACAACAGCAAGTTGGTTTAGTTTGCGTTCTGTTTATATTTGTATTTCCTTGGCATTATCCGTGTTGACAAAGATTTCACTTTGTGGCGCTCAAATGTTAGTGAATGCTCCGCTCTGTCGCACCGACTTCAACGGCAACGGCAACGGCAACTTTGCGTCTCTTTTACGTCCCGCTGCTTTGTTTAACTGCTGGAGCGCACCCAACCCACAGCCCACAGCCCCCCAACCCTGAAATCACTCCCTTCTTCACTCGAGCTGCTGGTCTTGTATTGCACTATGTATTTGACTATGTTTGCTTGCTTGTTTGTTTGACTTGTGTGTGGACAAAATTCATATTAAAGTCCTTTTGCCCGTCTGTCATTTGATGTCCAGCTCCTTGTTTGTCCGACCGCCTCAAAGCACGCAGAACACAATTTGCTCGCATGGTCAAAGCTAGCTAAAGCTTTAAACTTGTATCAAGCTCGCAGCTACTCGAATATCCAACATTCCCAGTACAATTTATAATACAAGTATATTCACTTTTGATAAACCAAATATTAAACAACGACAAAAAGGGGCAACGTTCAGACGTTGAATACTTGTACAATATTACAATATTCACTTAATATACATTCAGCATTCATGATTTATAATGTATAATGTAATTTCAAATTGACAAGCACACCTAATTGAGGAACAGGCAAACGCTTTTTATAAACAAAAACATGATATTATAATTGAAAAAGAGTAGCTCAAGTTTTAGTTCTTTTTTGCGTTTATTTACATTTTTCACAAATATATAGTAAATGACAAGTAAACTTAATTTAACGATTAATTAATTTAATGCTCAATTCTGAGTCACTTTTAATATTGCACGCCTTTTTACAAACGAATCACAAATATTTTCTGTTTTTATACCCTGTACCCAAAGGGTACAAGGGTATATTAGTTTAGTGCGAGTGCACATGGAACACACAGAAGGAGGCTTGGTAGACCCCACAAAGTATATATATTCTTGATCAGCATGACAAGCCGAGTCGATATAGCCATGTCCGTCTGTCCGTCTGTCCGTCTGTCTGTCTGTCTGTCTGTCTGTATGAACGCAAGGATCTCCGAAAGTATAAGAGCTAGAATAACCAAACTTGGTATACAGATTCTCCTGAGACCGAGAAAGGACGAGTTTGTTCATTTTTTCTGATCCACCCCCCCACTCCCCCCCTATTAACGATTTTGGAATTTTGAACTAAAATTTGGTAGACACATCCAGTTAGTAATTGTATATCCGTATACCAAGTTTCATTATGATAGAATGATCGGAAAGAAAGTTATAGCCATATAACCAGGCCCAATGCACACATACATACATATGTACAAGTACACAAACACGCATAGACACGATTCTGATGTAAATGTAAATGTATCTATGCATGCATGGAATATTTAGTTAATTAATTAAATTAATTTAGTTAATTAATTAAATTAATTAATTAAATTAATTAATTAAATTAAATTAATTAATTAATTTAATTAAATTAATTTAATTACTTTTTTGTGGGGTGGTACAGGGTATTTAAGAGTTGAGCCTGCTCGACTTTAGCATTCCTTTCTTGTTTTCTATTAAAAAAAAAGACATTTTAAAATCATTTCTCGGTTGTGCGTAAATATTGTTAGCAAACAGCATTAGTAATACTTTGTAAAATAATATATTATACCCACCCATGAATAATACAAGTAAGTTGATAAATCCTTTGCATTCTACAAGTTGTTATATTTTTCTGCCCATACAGCCAGCTAAGCGTTTTGCAAAAGTTAATTATCTATTAGGATACAATTTCCAGATTAAATCGCATTTCAAGACATGTGTATTCTAGACATGTTTGGCAATAAATTTGGCGACTATTCGCTATATCAATTACAATCGCGCTTCACGAACTGTCACGGTTCGTTTGCCAAATTATGAGTTATTTCATTGAGCATCTATTCGAAAAGGACGCACACGCAGACAATTTATGGGGTTAATGTGCGACACGTTTTCTTCCATGCCCGGGAAAGCCTTACCAAAAGGGGGCATTAGCTTTCGAAGCAGACTCATATCAATTCAACAAATAGAAAGGGAATTCCCGGCTGAGGCTGAGGCTGATGCCAAGGCTGAGGCTGAGGCGGACACCACCAACTCCCCTGAAGCTTCATAAACATTAACACCCAGTAGAATAAATACGAGTAAAATGAAAAGCAGGCGTCCAACAGCGGCGTTGGCAGCAATTGCTGGCAAAATTGAGCATAACAGCGTGTAATGCACTCATTAAATACCAACAACAACGACAGTACTAACACTATAACCTTTGCTAACCCGTATTCTCTCCTCCGCCGTCCCTCTCCCTGCACAATCGCAGGCCCAGGCAGCGCTCATGTACGATGCGGTGTTCGTGCTGGTCGAGGCATTCAACAAAATTCTACGCAAGAAGCCGGATCAATTTAGGAATAATGTACAGCGCCGCAGTCAGACGCTGATGGTGGCCGCGGCATCAACGGCCAGCGAGGGTTACAACAGCAGCGACGGCATGGCTGCCGGAAATGGGCCGTCAGGTGGTTCACTGGCTGGAAATGCCGGAGGCGGAGGGCCGGCGCCACGCGCGTTGGACTGTAACACGGCCAAGGGTTGGGTAAACGCCTGGGAGCATGGCGATAAAATATCGCGTTATTTGAGAAAGGTAAGCGGATGCATGATTGGGTATCTTTCTGCGTATGTGGCATGAGCAGCAGTGCTTTTTAAAAACATACACATGAGCGACTAGCGTATAATTTTCCATATTGTTGCTCATCAACAATCTAACTTTTTCTCCCAATATTTGTATCTCTGTAGGTTGAAATCGAGGGTCTTACTGGCGATATCAAATTCAACGATGATGGCCGGCGCGTTAATTATACTCTGCACGTGGTCGAGATGACGGTATGTTTTCTACTGCTATACTTTAATGATTGTTTGATATAACTTTTTATAAATTAAATATTTAATCCAATGCATTTTATTCGATCACACCAATTGCATGCATGTTCTGGCCTTTCCCAATTCCGTGATACGTAAAATTCTACGGAATTTGCAAAGGCTTCGAAAGTCTAATTCAATTGTCATTAAGTTATGTGCCACATGATTGCCCGTATATAGTATTTTAAAAAGGACTTGGTTGTGGTGGATGTTAATATGTTTCCAAAAAAAGCAATCACATGCAATTTCGATAGCTCCAACAAAATTAATAAAACAGGATGTCTTTTGGTTTGAAAGTGGGGTTTTTTATTTAAACTGAAATAAAAAATGTAGGTATTATTTGGCTCTTTTAAATGTACGATTGGTCTACTACCTCTTTAGAAAGTCTATTTTTAGTGATAAACGTAATCGCCAAGTGAATTTCGCATGAACAGCTACGTAGGAGAATATTGGAATTTGTAGAGCTGCGAACACTTTTTGGAGCAGAATATTAACTTAAGTTACTGTACAATAAATCGATTGCCATTGTTGATTAAAAAGTTTATGAATTTGTATCTTTATTATATAGATATACTTGTATTTTCTATCGTCTTGTTTTCTTTCAAATCAATATGATTTCGTTCTTACAGGTAAACAGCGCTATGGTTAAGGTGGCCGAGTGGAGCGACGATGCCGGTCTGCAGCCTTTGAATGCCAAGTACGTACGTTTGCGGCCACATGTGGAGTTCGAGAAGAATCGTACCTATGTAGTCACAACCGTTCTGGAGGAGCCGTACATTATGCTAAAGCAGCCTGCCTTTGGCGAGCAGCTGAAGGGCAATGAACGCTTCGAGGGCTACTGCAAGGATCTCGCTGAGCTCCTGGCCAAAAAGCTGGGTATCAATTGTAAGTGAATTTAAAAGGATGCGTGTGGTGCAACTAGCTATCTATAAGTAACTACTTGATGCAGACGAACTCCGCCTGGTGAAGGATGGCAACTATGGCTCAGAGAATCCGGCCGCCCATGGCGGCTGGGATGGCATGGTGGGAGAGCTGGTCCGCAAGGTAGGATGTCGAAAGCACAACTGCAGCCATATGGTGCCCTCACTCACTATTTTCTTCAACTCGTTGCAGGAAGCGGATATTGCGATTGCCGCCATGACGATTACGGCCGAACGCGAACGTGTCATCGACTTTAGTAAGCCATTCATGTCTCTTGGAATTTCCATTATGATTAAGAAGCCGGTGAAGCAAACACCCGGCGTCTTCAGCTTCATGAATCCATTATCACAGGAAATTTGGGTGCGTATTTACACTTGAAATGTTATGGGGTATATGCTTGTATTATAGTCTGTGTATGTTTGTGTCTAATGCATTACGTGCGATCAAAAACTAAACTCCTACAGAACAATATAATTTTATTACTATTAACTTTTGATTTAAATGAGGCTTGTAAGGCCAGCATTTTTGCGAGTTTTTTTTATGTATATACTATATATATTTATTAGAACAAAGCTGTAAAAGGCACAACTACCCTTTCCCATAGAATACTTACTTATATTTTGTAACTCTGCAGTGAAAAAATTTTTATTTTATTTGGTTACATTATGATTGATGACGGCTGGGGCAATGCCTTTTGAAATTACTTTGAAAGAATTCTGCTCAGTGACCGTCATTTTCTTGGTGGTATACAGATGTGTTAGTTCCACTACATTTTCCAGTGATGTCTTAAAGCTTAAGCTAAGGAATGCCCATATTTTGGTTGGCACTCGTGCTTGTATGGGATACCATCCAAGTATTCTCGACCAAAGTCCACTTCTTGTTACTTGTTTATTTATATTTTGGTAACGAGTCAAATGTTGCAAAAATTGCGCTGCATACAAATGAGTAAAGTTTTAAACATTTTCTTTCATTTCTGTTGCCTGGTAATTTCCACGGCTGCCGTTTTTCTCATCGCCATCCTCGAAGCTGCAGCGGCAAACTTTTGGGAAACTTTTTTCTGTATTTATTTTTTTTGGTTTCGGCATGAACTTGGCACCACGTAAGCTCCTAAAGTTTAATAGAGTAAACGACAAAGTTTTTTCTGCTTTCGCAACTGTTTGCTTTTTTTACATTATAAACAACAGCAGCAACAACAACCGCAGCGCGAGGCAACAGAACAACAAATTTGCGGCCGCCAAGTTTTAAATTTTCCGCTTGTCCAACGGCTAGACGCCGCTGCCTCAATACCTAACACTTGTATAAATAATGGATGGTAGCTTATCTAATTTGTATGCACATTAAATTTATGTACAGTTCACACCCTAAACGACCAAATGATCATAGTTTATTCGATAATTCAAGACTGCACGAAATTTATTATTAATGTATTCAAAAACTTTGAATGAAATGGATCTATACTCCATTCTAATGACTTTCTTTTCTATTCTGTTTGCGAAACATCGGCGTTTATAGTCGTGTGCGCAAACTAATTTCACCAACAATATATTTAAGTGCAGATGTTCCCAGATCCTCAAATTGGAAAACATGTTTCCAAAGTAAATTTATTAGTTAAATGGGACACAATTGCATCAGAGTTGATCGCACCTAATTAATTATTAGATGTCTTCTCCATGGCGATTTCTCATTCGATTGAAAAATTGACTTGTTTTTTAAGAATTGTTCCAAGTTTTACCTAAAGGATACATTAAGGAAAATCTTAGGGACAATCAAATTAAATTTATGAACATTTATTACTTATCCACCACATATTAAATTAAATATCAATTCATTTCTTTAACAATTGAGATATTAACACTTCCAAAAAGAAAAAGAAAGTGAATAATGGAACACAACACTGCTTGCAAAACATATATTCATCAAATCACAATCTCTCCCTTCAAAAAAAGTTATGGTATTTCCGTCTTCGTTGCTACTTTAGTTAAACTCTGTACAGCTCTGTACGCCCGAAAAAGCATATAGATACATTGATTGGGAAATTAACTTTTGCATTTTCTTTCACGAAAACTATTCAATTTTTACACAGCATTGAACAAATCAGATGGGAAAATGTAGGACTCTGATTTATGTAAAATAAAGTACAATGATTTCACATACATATGTGGGAATGTTTGAAGTTCTTGATTTGAGTAGACTTTAATTTCAAATTCAAGTATGCACACTTTTTACATCTCGAGAAATGTTCGTTCAATATTTTTTTCTGAGTCTTGATTTTAAAAGGTCTGATTTATTTATTTATGTTTTTAGCATTGACATCCCTTATATGTTTGTTGCTTTATTATTAATATTCAAGTCAAGTTATATTCAATGAAGCCTAATTATATTAAAATTGTATATTTCTGAACAGGGATTGTTAGTGACACTTGGGAAAATAGCTTTTAACCATTTAGTAGAACGTTAACAAACGAGAAAAAATCGGGAAAAAATGGGAAGAAAGACTGGAAGTTGTGTGTTACGTATTCTCAAATAATTATTTCAAAAATCATTTAAAATATCCGTCACACTGCTATTTAATATACGCAGACTTTTTGTTAATAAAAAACACGGCCATAGGACATTCTGCTCCCAAAATCGATTCATACTTTCGCGCACCTGAACTTCACTAATACGTAGCTATTTTGTCATCAATTCTGCAACAGTACAATAAAAAAAGTTTTTCTAAGCGCATGAACTGATGCATAACTGATGTTGAAATAATATTTTACGAACGTGAACTCAGAAATCAAATTCATAACACACGAAAAATGTGCGAAAACTCGGAAAGCTCAAAGTCCAAAAGTGTTGAAAGCACAGAAACGCTAAATTAAACGCTAATAAAAGTGAAGATTCGCGACCTGGGTGGGGTGCTGGGTGGTCCAATGCGTAATTTGACATGAGCTAAAAAATTACAAATGCAAATTAGTTTTGCCGACGAGTGAGCGGCAAAAGGCACAAAGTCAACGGCTGTGACGCCTGCAAAGTTAACAAGCTAATAAAAAGGACTTTGCAAAAAAAATTCGTCATAAATTAAATGAAGCATTTTAGGTGCACAGCCACATCCACACAAACACACACACACACACACACCCTTGTACGCCCAGACAAAGCCACGACGAAATAAAATGTTAACAAAGCAAAGGAATAGTAGAGAAGGCGTGGACAAGTGTGAAGAAGAGTGTGGGAGCACCGGCTTAGGTAGTGCCTACTTATGGGCGTTCACATGAGTATGCATACTTGTATATATGTATATTTCTGTGTGTGTGTGTGTGTGTGTGTGTGTGTGTGAGTGTGTAGTCAAGAGCATTGAGGCATGTGAAAGCAGCAACACAGCTTTCTTTTTGCCACAACATCAACGAACGGAAGGCACACAAAGGTGCCTTCTGGTTGACGTTTGGACCGATAGGCAGCTTATTGAAGCGACGCCGGCAGCAACAGCAACAGCAACGGCAACAGAAACAGAAACAGCAACAACAACACTAACAACATCAACAGCTATGTGGCCTAGCAACCTATAGTACTTGTATGTCTGGCACCTGTGTCTGCTGTTATGTCTGTCTTGTCAACGCCATTATCGTTGTTCCTTCGAGCGGCTACCGTCTCTGCATACCCCTCCGGCCTATTAGCCTAATGTTTCGTCATTCCTCGGGAGCCGTTGCCGTTGCCGTTGCCGCTTCCGCTTCAATTAGCAAAGAAAATTGAATGAAAAATTTGCACAGACTGTGCCCATAGCAGACCCTTAACGCCATTTTTGCTGCTTCTTACTTCAACACATTTCTGTTTATGATTTACTTTGTTCTCTATTTCAGGTGAGCGTCATATTCAGCTACATCGGTGTGAGCATCGTGCTGTTCTTCGTCTCCCGCTTCTCCCCCTACGAATGGCGTCTGGTGCAGCAGCCCCAGCCATCCCAGACGTTGACAGGTGAGTCTGGCTGATATTATTAATGTCAGTGGCGCGAATGCAGCCATGTGCATTTCCTTTTATGGTGTTTTATGAGTCGCATGAGCCATACCGTAGATATGCTCCTTCTATAATAGACAAGCGTACAAATTTGTGTGGCATATACAAAACTATTGCCTATTGTCCAATATTTTCGTAAATTGACCAACTCTTTATTTTGGCGCATAATCGATTGAAAATTAGCTGCTACTTTTGGCATGCAGTTCTACCTACCTCGATAGCCGCAAAATGCTCCTGCTTGTCCTTGCAGAGCTCTCGTATATAGACCTTGAATCTGAAAATAATGATGAAAGAAAAATGTTCTCATGCGTCCCGCATTTTTCTGTACAATGTCTCACAGTAGATTCCTAAGCCTATTATATGATATTAACCAGGTGCCTTACACGGCTCCAGATTATTCAAGGCCTGCGGTATTTTTACGAATCACATAAGTGCGCCTGCAAATCGGATAATATTTAGCTCAATCAGGGATAATCGCACTGACTGGGACTCATTTCTATATAAATATAGCGAAGTGATGTCACTCGAATATCTGAGTAGAAGTGCATTGATTTGAGAAATAAAAAAAAAAACAATTATAACATTTATTAGCATTTTTTAAGCATTAAGTCGGCTTCGAAATATGATTTTAGCGATCATATAATTATGAAGTATTCTCGTCATACATACATATATAATGTAATACTTATCATTGTTAGCATTTTAACAATGTGTTCAGTAAAGGTAGATAAGTTTTAAATACTGCTACTACGATCAAGACCTTTTCCTTTTCATTGATTACTTGATTTAGGTAATAAGCATTCGTATTCACAATTCGATAAAGGCGTACTACTATGTATATGTGTGCAGCGTATGTGTATTTTCATGTTATTTATTGTTTGCTATTGCAATGATGTAGCAGAATTCGTCCTGGCGTGGCTGCCAATCAAAGCCTTTATAGCGGCAGTCAAAAAGCATTCGGAGACCACACACGCGTTTGAACAAGCGTTAGAGCGACCCGGTAGGAGCACACACACATACACATACACATACACACACACATACACAGAGGCATTCGCTCATAACAATCTATTGACATCCTGCAAAACATCCTTAATGTAATTTTATCGGAAAGTAAACATAATTTTGTATGCAGTCAACGTGCTGTTGTCGGTGTAAAAAGTGGAACCCGCCGCAGGATAGTGTGCGGGTGGGAGGGGCAGCAGACGAGAAGTGGAATGTGGCACAGAGTGCCTGAAAACGACAGCTCCTCGCATACCAGCCAGCAGTAACAGTTGCTGACACATTTCGAGGAAGTCAATGGTTTTACCATCGAAGAAATCAAAATGCAGGCACAAGATGGGGGCAGGGGGTGTGGACTGGCTACGTATTTGATTGCATATCAATTAGAGCAGGCGCAAAAAGCCAAACCGAACGAAATGATTGACAGTTGTATGTATCAGTCAGCCGGACAGCCAGTCAACATGGGCACGTAGACAACCGTCCTAGTCGCCGTTCTCGTGTCCTGCCAACAGCAGTTAGACAGTCAGTGAAATGAAATGGGCAATCGACTGACAGCGTTCAGCGTTTGCCGTCTGTGGCTTCCTTTTGTGGCCAATGGACACAAGCACACACTCATACTCAAGCTTTCATGTAATGTTCGTGCTCTCGTTTTTCAGATCCACATGCACATCACGAACAGCTCGCCAATCAGCAGCCGCCTGGCATCATCGGCGGCGCCCCACCACCACCACCCGGCCCGCCAACGCCGGGGGCGCAATCGGCAGCCGGTGCAGCGGCCTTACATGCAGCACTCTCGGCCGGCAGTGTCGCCTCTGGTGCAGGAGGCGCCTCTAATGCAGCCGTCAATGAGTTCAGCATTCTCAACTCGTTCTGGTTCTCGTTGGCCGCTTTCATGCAGCAGGGCTGCGATCTTTCGCCCCGCTCTGTTTCGGGACGCATTGCCACTGCCGTTTGGTGGTTTTTCACTCTCATACTCATCTCATCATACACGGCCAATTTGGCTGCATTCCTGACGGTCGAGCGCATGGTGACGCCGATCAATTCGCCGGAGGACTTGGCTATGCAAACGGAAGTCCAGTACGGTACACTTCTACATGGATCCACGTGGGATTTCTTCAGAGTAAGTTCGTGTATTGGGCAGTTATTGCAGAACCAGAAGTGTCGCCTCAGCTAGAACTAGTTCCAAATTCAAATACGCTGATGAATACTTGTCAGGAAATTAAATGGAATCCGAATCAGTTTTCGGAAAAAAGATTTTATATTTTCAACACATCTACTAGGATATTAAATTAGTAAATCAAAATATACAGCAAACAATTCTAGACCGATTCAACTTACATGTGCACTGCTTTTTTTACAAGACATATAGAAATACCCAACAAGATATTCGAATAATTATAATATTTATGTACAAATATTTATTTGATTTAGTATGAAAGATGAATTGTATCCTAACTTATGAATCGGATTTAGTTGTACGCTGGACTTACTTGTTTAGTTTATAGCATTATATAAAAATTCGTTTTGCAATAAGACTCATTTCAATACAATTTAAAACAAAGTATCCTCCTTGATTCTCCGTAACGTAATTGTCAATTAATAAAATGATTCATGATTTATATTCACATTCAAAAGCTAACGTCTGATTTATAAATGAATTCTTGTAAAATTTGAGTCGCTGTGAATAGAAATAGTAAAATATATTTCCGAGATGATAAATATTTGTTGGGTTCTCTAGCTTTGAATGTATATGTATGTCAGTACAGCTGTAATATTTTACTTTTCATTATTCAGAGCTTAGATGTAAACAAATTACATAACGTCTTCGACAAAATATTGAACCGATCCTTCCAATTAAGGTCTACTATAGCTTTAGATGGTTAATAGCTTGACGGTTGTTTATAGAACTAGTTCATCAAACCTATCTAACCTTCACATTTCTATACTTTATGTCCACGGTTGACGCACATTCGTCAGCCTCTTCCGACTTTGCATATTTCCAGTGCAACCATTTTTGGCAGCAGCTCCGGGCCATCAACTTTATTGCTTGGCGCTTCGCTTCTCCATGTCTGTTGGCAAATGTCATCCGCTGCCTACGTGGTTGATCAGGTGTTGGTGCATGATACGATTCAGGGATATCATGCGTTGCATTGTCAGTCGCCTGTTTAGTCAAATTAGGTTTGGGAAAACAATTAGAGGCTCGCTACTTCATCTTCATTATCAACATCTGGCAGACCGCAAAATGTGAAATTCAAAGACAATAAAAGTCCGTACCAGACAAAAATTTTAAAGCAGAAACCAGACGACTGCTTGTGTTTCCTTCCTTTCTCCCACTTCCTACCACTTAAGAACACGAGCATGTCTGCTGGCAAGCAAATTGACGAACGCGTCAGTGCTCGATGGAAGAGCAGCCTTAAGATTAATTCGAGTTAAGCTAAAATAAAAAGCCATTTTTTTCTCCTCGCACTTCTGTGGGGGCAAATGCGGGTACATCGGAGCACGCGGAGTCGTATATGTAAAAGAAATGAGGAGCAATTCTATTTTTCATGGCTAAATTTATTTGAAATGCTTTTAAGTACACTTACGCCCCATATGCCCGAATCGTAGAATATAAACATACTCGTACTCGTACTCACATTCCTTCACTAATGCCGTCTGTCTACCCCCGCAGCGCTCACAAATCGGACTACACAACAAGATGTGGGAGTATATGAACTCACGAAAGCACGTCTTCGTGAATACCTACGATGAGGGCATAAGACGCGTGCGAACCTCGAAGGGAAAGTATGCCCTGCTCGTGGAGTCGCCAAAAAATGAATATGTAAACGCTCGGGAACCCTGCGACACAATGAAAGTGGGCCGTAATCTGGATACAAAGGGATTTGGCATAGCCACGCCGCTTGGATCCGCGCTCAAGTGAGTATAAGAATACAGAAGTGCAGAGAAAGGGGAGAGGGGAGAGGGGAAAGGTCGGGGCATTCCATGTGGGGTTTTTCCGAATAAAGGCGAAAAATTGATGCCATTAAGCACAACAAAAAATGCCAAAGCGAAAAGTTGCAGGCACAAATGAAATGGCACAAAATAAAAAGGCCAATAGGGCGAATGCCTGGTATGTGCCATGCGAACATTTCTTTGCCTTTATTAAAAAATATTCCAACGAGAAAGTGTGCGTGTGTGTGTGTGAGTGTATAAGTACCATGATATAACAACGCACTCTTTTCTTACTCTTCGCCCCCCTGCACAGAGATCCAATTAATCTGGCTGTGCTGTCGCTAAAGGAGAACGGCGAGCTGATCAAACTACGCAACAAATGGTGGTATGACAAGACAGAATGCAATCCCAACAAGGACAATCAGGAGGCGTCACATAACGAACTGTCGTTGAGCAATGTGGCCGGCATCTTCTACATACTCATCGGTGGTCTAATGGTTGCCGTGTTCGTGGCCATCATTGAATTCTGCTTTCGCAGCAAGTCCTCGACAACTGCCAGCGGCACAAGTGGCATCGGGCCGAGTGGCAGTTCCAAAAGCAATGGCTCCATGATGCTGGGCTCGTCCAGCGCTGTGCCCGTCGTGGTGGCATCAACACATCAAAGAAACCCGCTGACGGACAGCATGCATGCCAAGGCGAAATTGACCATTCAGGCGAGTCGCGACTACGACAATGGACGTGTGGGGGTGAGTAGCGCCACTTGATGGTTTTTCTTGTTTATGTGCTATACAATACGTACGATGATGTGCCTCGGCTGGGGCTGGGGCTGGGCCTGGGGCCTGGGGCTGGGGGGTGTGGTATTTTTAGCCCTGTGTTTTATGTTAATTACGCACGACTAACGCCCGCACAGTATCTCAATTGCGCCTCATTGCAGTATTATCCACCCGCCCAGTTGGCTGCAACACCACCCGATGGCGGCGAGGCTCTGCACATGACCGCACATGGTCAGGTTTGACACGAACACGCGCAGGATTCGCGCCTTTGACGAACACCCTGCGCACCCACTATTCGGCGCATAATGGCCAGCAGCCGGCAGGAGACTGAGAAGATGATGGGTGGCGGCAATCACGAGGCCAGTCTCACACTCTCACCCAGCAGCCAGAGCTCAACCTTGATGCGCCATTCATCCGATAGCAACCACCCCTATGCAAAGTGAGCTCCAAACTGAAGCGATGTGCATGCAAAAGGTGTAGGCAAGTAAGTACGCGTAAGTAAGTAAGCCAATGGTAGTCTAGGCTTAGGACTTATCGTAGACTATTCCTAGTTAGTTACACTAAGAAGGCCGCGTTCCATAATGCTCAAAACATGCGAACTGAATGCAACTGTTCAAGCACTTTAGATTATCGCCTAAATTTTAAGGAAGTTGTATTTATTTCGTTGCTATCGGATCCTTAGGATGTGGTTTACTTTTCATCAACAAAATTGAGCCTCTATCTTTGTCCTAATTTTATATTTACGAGAATAGTATCTGCTCTTATAAGATGAGATTTTATTTTCACTGCAAAGCTTAGCATTTAATTACTTTAATTTTCAAATTGTTGGTCGAATCTGAAAAGGATTGCTTTGACTAACGATTGTGTTTCAATTACTAATTTTCGAAATACTTGTTCATTTGGGATTTGTTCGAGTCTGTAAAAGTAGTATTGGCTTCATTATGCCTTCTGTAGTTGACTTTATTAATTTTCAATAGAGCCAAGCATTGTGTGCCTGCTGTTTTGCTTCGGCAACATGTTCACAACATATGTCTACATACAAGTATGTAGAGTATGTATATGAAGTGATCATTATTGTTCTTCAAAGATTTTCTCTGCCCCCTGTTAGCTATCTGAAAAGTGACCTCAGTCCTAGCTGCCCGGTAGCAACGAATTGTAGATAATAAAACAATTTAACAATACTATATAGGGAGATAGTAATCAATGTGGCCAGCGCTAGGCATCATGTAATTAGAAGTGAAGCAAAGTATATAAATTGCATTTATAAATATGACTATGAATATGTACTTAATTCGTATTTTCCGGGCAAGTGCAACCAATTGGCCACACTCACCCGTACCGAAACGTTTTTGTGGTCAGAGTTCGTATCAGTTGGCACATTTACAGCTTGTCAGCGGTTTAAAATTTGCATCGCTGTCAACACTTAGCGGCTGCATATGATATACTACTAGTACATACAACTACATGCATACATCCGCGCAAACACACACATACTATACAAGTGCATATGTATGTGTGCATATAGTATGTAGTAGGTATGTATATCGTGCAATTAATTGCATTCAAATGACTGATTAATATTTTTAGTAAATATGTAGAAAAAAATGAAAACTGAGAGCAGAAAAAATTAACAATAAAAGGCAGCCAGCAGCAAAAACAAAAGTGCTATTTTATGTTTTATTTTATGAAAGCGTTCTTATTTGCTTATAATTAATTTACAAAATACACAATTAAAATAAACACATTCTGCGTATAAAATGCATTCAAGTCAACAATAAAAAACACCACAATGGCGAACCACCATATAGTATTTCCATTAAACACCATTTAAATGAAATGGTTCGAAATGTGAAACATGTAATTATCATTTCAACTGGCGTTTGCATTTTGCTTGACTGTCCTTTTAAGCAGAACTATTAACATAGGCTAGGATAAATGTTTAATTTGTGACGTAAGCAAATCAAACAACAACAGTCGCGCACTTCCGCATCTTAATAAATAAATAAATGAATAAAATATTTAACAACAATAGCCATATTAGTTATCGAAATTTTTGAGTTATTTATAGCTAATAGCCTAGAATATACCTATAACTAGATTAAGATATTTTTAAAAACGCATATACTATATTGAATAAAAATTACTTTGTAAATACAAATTGATTTGTGGGCGACCTAATAATGAACCCACAAAAGTAAATACCGAAAAATGCTTAAGTCATATCAAAAATATTTAAAATGAACCTTAAAAGCCCCTTTAAAGCTATTGTAATATATTTATTTAAAGTATATATATATATGTATGTATATTTATTGTTATTGATGTGACAACAAATTAATGTGAATTACTATTGTGTCATTTGATACGCCATGTTTTTGATTACGATTAATCCGGGGACACCCACAATCGCTTAAACTGCTTATCATTGGTGGCCCATTTCGATTTCCGATTTGACCAGGAGGAATTAAATTTCAAACTTTAATTAGTAAATGCAATTGGAATTTACAAATAATACAACATTGCATAGGATTATCCGTTTTAATATTTAATTACGTAATTAATCCAGAATATGAACCACTATTAGGCTATGCATGGTTAGCACTATCTATATGGTTTTCTTTCAAAAAAAAAACATTTTTCCGAGCTTTTAAAACAAGCCAACACATGGCTCTGCTGCTTTCCAAAATGTACGAAATTATTCCATACAAATTCAAATACGCTTGCCTCCATTTTCTATAAGTTTCTATAAGTTATAAGCCCCTGGAAAAGGGATCAGAATGGGACAGCAGTTTCTGAAACACTACCGATAGCTGAAGAAAATGATTATGAATTTCCAATCGTATATTTCTTTTCACGCCGAGTTTAAGCAGTTTAGGTGCTAGCGGATTTAGTTCTGATACGTATCTATTTTAATTTGATCGGTTTACTATCGTTTTTTTTTATGAACATGGCGCAGGGATAGCCAAACACTTGCAGGAGAATTGCATTTAAACGTGAGTTATATTTCAATTATAAATCTCGCGATGTAAGTACGAGTATATAAGTAAATACTGCGTAATAATGCACTTTGAATTCTAACAATTATACTAAAGAGTATAAATAACATAATTAAATGCAAACAGTTAACTAAAAATACCGATATTTGTGCGCAAAAGTTAAAACCCACACAATTATAATAACGTATATACTATATTTACTTACATATACTCGAATGTAAGTAGATGAGGATGTGTGTTAAAACTCAAATCAAATCGAAAATCAAACACATTTGCCAGCTGGTGGCATAATTTGAATAATAAATAAATCAAAATGGTGTACTAATTAAAACATAGCCATAGGTGAACGTGTAAGAGTTGAAAAATCCATGAATATGGATAACAATTGATTCATGTATGAATGTCAAATTTGTAGTTTAACACCTGGTTACAAATTTTTCATTCCGCTCAAAATACAAAAAAAGAAAAAGCATTCTTTCCACTTCCGTGTTGTTATGTTTCTCCTATTTTATCTGGTAATGAATCGAGTTCTGTTGTCATTAGCTCTTAGATGAACTTTGTGAAACTTGTTGTTATGCCAAACAACATTTTGTATGAATTTTAATTTGTATGTACAATATTGTCCAATTAAATATTTACGTAAGCGGCGTATGTATAACAATGGCGAAAGAGAAAATATTTGATATATTTATAAACATTAAGCAAACATATTGTTATCACATGCATTTAAACGACCTTAAAACCAAAAACTCAAAATAAATAAAGGCAAAGGTAAATAAAACTAGCATAATAATAAGAATTTTAAATGTGAGCATTTTTCATTTCAATGACCAATTGTCTGACTTTGTATATTTAAGAGCAACGAATGGGTATTTGCCGAGGTGTGTGGGTGAGTTGGGATGCGTTTAGCAAATACCGCACTTTTTGCTATTAATCCAAATGAATTAAGACAAAAACAGTTCAGCAAATAAACTATGCGCACTAGAGCGGACGGGCGGACGTTCAGTCTTCTAGCTGAAAACATTTTCACAAATTGAAGGTCTACCGCAGTTGCCACATGCGGAAACTGAGGCATGCCAAAGCACACACACACACACACACACACACACACACACACACACACACACACACACACACACACACACACACACACACACACACACACACACATATTGAGAGAGCCAAGCAGCTTCATTATAACACTGCCGTGTGTGCAGTGCAGTGACATGAAGTGTGCACGCCGGCCCACTATCCGATTCTAACATACTTCCAATGCACAGTGTCAAGTTTTGGCAATCTTGGTGGTACTACGAGAGGGGCTTCTTTTGTAATGTTCTTTAAAAATATTTGTATGAACAACAAGAAATAAGCTCATCCCGTGCCAAGGAACAATTTCAAAAAATATTTAACTGTGGAAAGTGAAACGTGAGTTGTTCCGGCCATCAGCAGTCGAATAAAAGGAAAAGACACAAAAGACAAGGCAAGCAGTATACTTTATAATAAAATGTTATTGAAACTCGGGGCAAGGCACAGGAGTTCTTTCATCAAGCTTTATAGAATAGAGCGAAGAGAACCACTGTCTTTAGAAATTCAAACATACAATTCATTCATTCAAATAATTTTAAATTAAAATGTGAATTCAACAACAATCAGAAAGATCTCGAGCATAATATTTTAATGTTTCTAGCTAGAAAACCATTTATATACAAACAATTCATCAGAGTAATGGCCAAGAATTCACTATTTATTTGTTTCGCAAAGCTTATTTTAATTAATTTTCAATTTACAACATCTGGATCCCTCTTTGTTTAATATAGTATAAGATGAGGGACCTAGTGTAAATGGAACATAAACTACTACATATGCTTAAGTAAATTGGAAATGTGTTTTCCATTTTTTATAAGATGTGTCATAAGAAGTTCAACTAATTTAATTCAGCCATTCAACTATTTTGCGACGAAATTAAAACATAAATAAATAAATAAATAGGCAGATAGGACAGATAATTTAGTATTTGATTCTGATTTTTTCCTCAAGTTTTATTAATTAAATTTTAGTAAAACATGTCTGCATTTTTAAAATCTTAAACGTTCTATTCTTACCCTTAAAGATTATTATAACTCAAATAAAGAAAAGAATATTTTACTAAGCCAGCAACCACTTTAAAAAAGTTGTGAACACACGTTACATGATGAATTGTAGAAGCTTTTGATTTATTCTTTTCAGTTTAGTATTTTAATTTAATAATAACTAATTTCTTTTTCAAGTTTCATTCATTTCTGAATTTTTTTAAAAACCAACCCAAACCTTACTCTCTTTTGAAGATTATTATAACTCAAAAAAGAAACGAAAATGGTACTAAGCCAGCAACCACTTTAAAAAATAGATGAAAGCGTAGATGATGTGGGAGCTTTTGATTTATTCTCCTTTTTTATTTTGTAAACTTCAATTTGTTATTGATCCCTCTGTGCGCTGCCGCTGCCGCTGCCGCTGCTGCTCACTCCACGCCCGTTGTTCTCGTTGATTTCGGTAAACTATTTACAGCATACACACAGGCGCACGCAGCTAAAGCCAACATGAGCTAAATGCGTTTGCGGTTGAATTGTTGCCTTGCCTTGCCTTGCCTTGCCCGCCCGTTTGTTTTGTTTTGTTGGCACTGCCGCTGCAAC